AATACTGGTTCAGACACTGTGTGTGTTGAGCTATGTTTATGTAATTGCTATTCCTATACTCAACTGCTTGCACTTACGTGTATTCCAGGATGTCTGAGTTGGATTTTTCTGACAAAAACAATAACTATTCAATATCCGTTTCATGCAAAAGATAACCTTGTGCTTTCGCAATTACACCTTCATGATCATTATCAGTCAATGCAAGCATAATTCTAAATCTAATTTGATGAAGAGTTAGATATTAACAGCAATGTTTCGACTGCAAGCTTGAGGAGGTGAAAGCAAAACTGAACCGTAACGCAAACCAACGAATTGGCTTGTTATGGCGCAAAGCTAGCTCTCCGTGTTGTCGTGCGCAGAGCTGCGTGACGAAGTCTTTATTTGTGACAGAGTACTGGCTGTATCGCCTACTACTCACATTGAATTAACTTGATATCTACAGAGCTCTAAACAAAAACTCCATGGGAGGTTGCTCGTGCANAGAAAAATGAACAGCAACGATACGCTTGTACATGTTTATTAAAATCGGTTATTTTCGCACAGTATTTCGTCTTATCAAAGTCTCCGGGACTTTTCTTGATAAATTTGCTCGCACCGTTTGCCCCCTCCCTCCCACCTGTTGGAATCACCAGTTGTTGACTTATCATGTGAGCGGCCAAAGTGCAACTGTCCAACTTTGTACATACTATTACAGACTATTTTGTGGTCCCTCTACCGGTATTGCCATGACGTGTTAACTTACATGTATGACAGACAAACTCACCTTGTCCACAGTCACAAGCAGCTACGAAGGCATAAAGAACCAGCCCGATGTAAACAGAACGAGCTAAAATTCGATGCCACTCCGCTTGCCCGGCCATCTTTCGACGTGGGGGAAAGTTTGATCCCCATCAAAGGGCACAGATTGCACCGACCTCCGTCCTTTGTGTACAATGTGACAATAAAGATTACGCTGATTGGTTACTTGCCGTACTCACCTTTACAATTATTGGCCCAATCCTGGGTACACAAATAAATGTTTGATACGGCATGCGTCGACCTTACATAATAACTAAGATAAAGATATTTATTTGTTGCTATCTATCATTATCACTGTTTGATTTATTACTATTATTATCACTTGTCAAAAATTAATGTTGTCGGGGGAAGATTCCGGACAGGCCATAATGGCTTTTTATCTTCCACCAGCATATATTTTTTATGCTTATGTTCATTTTATTACTTTGACTATATGTTAATAAAACAAACAAACAAACCCAAACTTTGCTCTGAAAGAATCTTTATTAAGGTTGGTTCAGTAAATTGATTAATGAATTTAGTTTTGTCTTTTCTTGGTGAAGACCTAGGTAGTTTTGATCCACTGATTCTTCGTCGCCGCATCAAAATGAGAAGCTTGTGAGCAGAGCCCCGGTAATAGTCACAGCGAACACCGCTGTCAGGATTACTGCGTTTCTGGCGCCCTGTAGAACACGAGTAGAAGTCATAGATAAACGTCGTTTACAGCTACCAATCAGATTTAGAGCGATAATACTTAACACGTAGGTATTAAGGGACTGGTACTGGCACTGTCCTGTGGATGTGCCCATTTAAATGAGCGAATGAAAAAAAGTGTATCGAAAAGAATGCAGGTAGATTTTAAATGCCCCATGGTATATAATTATGCATATGTAATGTGTATAAACCTACTTTGATTTCTCGAAAGTAGAAAACACTCCACAATGTCCCAACAAGGCTAGGGCCCTGCAAACAAAAAAGATGTACGTATTTGTTTTGTTAACCATGTTCTGCCCAATTCTAAAACACATACATGATGTATGTCATATACGAGAGGTTCATAAGAGCCACATAAGACGTCCTTGCCCATCAGGACCACGAAGCGTTAGGTTAGCACAAATCAAATCCCTGACTCAGCAACAAAACCTGTTACCGTTGTGATGATGGGAAAACTGACGCTCTCCTGTAGCCTCTGATTGGCCACGAACCACGCAGCCTGTGCGATGGCCCTCATGGTGCCCGACAGTAGAGCCGGGAGGATGGCTCTGGGGAAAACTGCAGGCTTGTTCCTCATGTACATGCTGTACAGTATGAAGTATAGTGTAGATGTCGCGTAGATACCACTGAAGTGAGCAAAGACATAATCTAAACCTGAAATAAAACACAGAAGATGTGGCTGACTAAAGCAAGACGTCACAAGGTCTCAAGGTCATGTGTAGAATATTTTTACACATTGATTTATTACATTAGTCATTTAAGATGTAGAATATATGTATTCCTATAAACACAGGTAGTCATGATACGAGGAAAGAACGTCGATGAGAAGGTAATATTTACTGATGTTGAAATCACAAATGCTAAACATTACCGTTGTCTGTGGCTCCCTCGTAGTGTTGTTGTGCGTAAATGACCGGTACAAAATTCAGCCCGTACATACAGCCAGAAAACATCGCCAATGTAATCCCCCTGGGGAAAATGATGGGAAAAACACAGATCAACCTATGGTCCAATATCAGTAGGGCCAGGCCAGGATGTGCGATATCTAAAACCAACCAGCTCATTTCGCAATTCACCACGATGGAAAGGAGACATACGTGATTCTTTTTTTCACAGGAGAAAGTTGATCCACCCAGGAATGGTCCTCAAGTTCTGCCGAAGGAACTCTCTCACTGGGACTGTTGACGGCTGCCTGGTCACAGCAGTTTTATACATGTAACGTCAGATATGTAAGTCGGAAAATGGTTATCAATAATATTCACTACTGCATGGTAAGATTATACATGTCAAGAAATGACATTGGCAAAGAATATTACTTGTTATGAATAGCGAATGATAGTCAATAGTACAATATTCGAAATACACGAAATGAAATTGGCAAAGAAAGTTACTTGTACTAAGACATACCAGGAATTTCTAGTTTCTTTTGATCTGCTTTTGTTTGTTTACTTGTTCAGGTGTATTATTCATTTCTTCTTTCGTTGGACAAATATGCATATGATAATAATAAAGCAATTACATGCAATCTGTCTTCTTCCAGTAGTGGCTCGTGATCAGTTTCAGGCTTGTCCATGACGTCACTTTTCACAAAGGATAATATTATCGTCCTAAAACGACAGGTAAAAAGAATTACTAGTTCTCTAGGGCAGAGCTAGAAGGGTTGGTCACCATATATTATGAATGTGTATGAGAATAAATAGAGCAGTAGTTTGTTAGGCTAGACCATGTGAAGGAAAACATCATGCATTTTCTTTGCGATTGTTACCTTTCTAGTTCTTACCTGACAATGCCCAGGGCCACGCCAGCATAGTCCAGGGCAGGCCTGGTCAGCCTGTCCGGCCGCATGCCGAACCAACCGAACCTCCCGCTGAACCAGCCCGTCAGCAGGTTAGTGGAGGCCCAGAACAACATGCCCATCCCCAGTCCTATAGTCTTCAGGATTGGCACGACCACAGCGTTACCTAGTCACGAATAACGCATGTTAGTCACTAATACAATACTAGTATTTATTTTAAAAAATGTGTACTTCTGCAACATATCAACCACAATAGCTGAAGATGTGGGTTTTCACTGACAAAAAGAAACTTTGAGGAGGATAAAGAGGATAATACATGATGTATAGGATGTACCTGTGCACCAAAGAGCCCCTCCAATCATCGAGATGGCGTAGAACTTAGGGAAACCCTGAATAACGTTCACCACCAAACCTACACACCAGACTGCAGAACAGAACACCCATTGGAAGAACATACCTGCAACCAATCAGGAAGGAAAAACATCTCAGCAACGAAACACGGATTCTAATATAACGTAAAGAAACTCCTCTGATTACTTGATTTCGAAAAAGAAAGACACTGGAACTATCCATGCAATGCGGAGTCCATTCGTATAAGCAAGGGGGCTATACATGTATACTGGAGACTATAACCTCCTTTGATAGCCCATTGATCTTATATCAGGTAGTCTTACCATCTCCCGTCTCCATTCTCTTGACAGGCACCAGGGTGGTCCCAAAGAACACACACGACACAGCTGCTGCAATGAACCCGATGTAGGCTTCGTCTTTAGTGTAGTTACTTGGCTGTATGTGAGCCGCGGTGAAGGTACTTGCTGGGGTGGTCGTAGTACCATTTTCTTGCGAAGGTAGTAAATGCAACGGGACATTATGAGAGTTTCTGTCTGTACGAAAAAAAATAACTTCAGCACATAAATGTTATATTTATACGCTCAAACTGTCGGTATGCAAGAACTATGTGGTCTGTTCTTTAAAGCCAGGTTAAGTCTTAGGGCCGGGTAAAACTATGACTTGTTCAGTGTTTATGTGTTGTATTTACTTGCAATTTCCCTGTTACATGTTGCTCAAACGCAGACATGAACGATTAGCGATATCGATGATGACCAAAGTCCAATAATCTATTGCATGAATGTGTACTTGCCGATCTTGTCTTGAGGACAATTGTAAACCACAAAGAACATCTGACGCTGATTCAACAAGCTTAAGCACGCTTACCTTGTTTGCAATGACAGGTCGCTGGAAAGACGAATAAGCATAAATATCCACACAGAATAAAAACACTGTGCCAGTCGTGACCGCCCATGTTTGTATATTGACATGTCGGGTGAAAGGTTGGGAGACGTAATAGTTGTTTGTGTAAGAGTTACTTATTAAGAGGAGTCAGAAGCACTCAGAGATTTGAATGGGTCTCTCGCAATCATACTCCATATGAAGCAGATGAATACATGTTCATGTTAAGTCCATGAAGACTCTGGTATATTTACACAGTGCGAACTAATCTACAGTTGTTACTGAAAATCGTACCTCTCTCATTATCCGGGTCAACCATATCCTGTCTTGGTCCCGGACTAACCAGTTCTTGCCGTCATATATCAGTAGAAATTTAACTGACTCAATTAAGTACTCGTATTTGTATGAGCCTGTAGTTGTAGTATTTTCTTTATTTTTCTTGTTTATATTGCTTGGCTTGTCTCTTCATATCTTTAATACTACTTAACCATTGGGGAAATTGTAAAACTGACAGGACCTGTATGTAAAACTGATATTGCTCTTTGTTATATGTGTTAGTAAGATAGTCCAGTTAGAACAGCTCCGGTGATTGTCACAACCATTGCCACCGCTAGT